ACAACAACAACAACAACAACAACAACAACAACAATAACAGTAATAATAACAACAATAATAACAAACACGTTAGTAACATTCACATTTTACTGCATTATTTTGGTCTTGCAAAAAACAGACGGATGCAATAGAAGGAATAGGCGGAAGAGATAGAAAAATGCGCGACCGATCGACAACAGCTGTTTTACGTTTTATCATTTCAAAAAGAAGTAATGGTAGCAGAATTGATAATAAAATAAAATTTTATGGGATGAGTTTCAATTAAAGATTGGAGGATCGAAAGATGGTATTGGAATCGAAATAAATCATTTAATGAGTGTAAAATTTAGAAAGTTGGCTGAATAGAAGATCTATAAATAATTTTCAATTGAAAGTGAAAAAAAAAAATAAGTGAAAAGCATGATCAGTTAGAATATTTAACAACTACGAATAACGAGTCATCTTGCTAGAATGAAGTGATGCTTCCTTAATTTAGGATTAATATTAATTGATCTTAAAGGCATAGATATCATATCATATCATATCATATTGGAATGTATAGTGCTAATCCGATAGCATTCCGATCAGATGGATTTATGGATTGATATTAAAGATGATTGGAATGTGTGAGTGATCATTAGGGATAATATTTTATAAAAGACAAAAGAAATCTGTTGAAAAATAAATGAAGATATCTGTTTTAGGAATGAGATAATCGCATAGAACAGTCGGTTGACATTCCTCCAGCGTTAGAAAGCAGCAATGACTTCACAATGTTTCGTTTCCATTAAAGGGTCAAAGGTCAACCAATTCTTGACCAATCATCTACAACTGAAGTTGCTATCGTTGCCAATCAACTGTGCATTGATTGCCATCAAATAATTTCACTTTTTTTTTTCCTGATTTAATCATTAGCAATCAAAGAATCCTTCCAAAAATTACATTAAATTTGCAATAATTATTAATCAAAAATGAAAATAAGATATATCAGATCATTCACATTATTATCTTTCATAAAGAAAATATTAGCAGCAACTGAAAAAGAATAGATCACATTGATAGAAATAATAACAAACATTAAAGAGAACTTAGGAGATTGCTCACTATTCACCGATAAATAATGTGTTATTGATTTAAGCAAATATAAATTTCAATCAATGAATCATCAGAATAAATTCTTAACTTTTTTTTTTTCCTTTTATCAATTTTAGCATAATTAAAACATATTAATAATATCTAACCTCACAAGAATGTCCAGATTTCTATGATGATTTAAAATATATTGGAAGAAAAATAATTCATCATAATACATTCATCATGTAAACCGTTTATATATTATCTTTTCGGCATCATAGAAAATAAAATTTTCTTCCTCTATACATTAATGCAAATAATAATAATAATAAAAATAATAAAAAATGTCATATTTTACAGTTCATAGAATTTACCATTAATTTTTGCAGTAATAAATATGCAGGATAGAACAGTTAGAAATGATTTGACCATAGGGGGCACCAAGGTCAAATATGTATGACAATGCTAGTTGGTTAAAAATAAAAACGGGGGAGGGGGAAAGAAAAAGAAAAGGAGCAATGATAAGTGAGTGGGTAAACGAAGAGGTCAACAGTGTTGCTAGCATCATCGGCTATACGGAAAAGAAAAGAAAATATCGACAATGCAATTTGGGACAATGATTACAGAGAATTTGATTTTTCAACAATTAAAATTTGCAATTATATCTTTTAAGAAGCAAATAAATCGACTTAAATAGAATTTTTGATAATTTAAACAATAAGAATCGAGAATTTACAAATCTTACTGTGTATTGTATTTTGGGTAATAATGAAATTTTTGTATGTTAAATTTAATCTTTTTTCTAAAATATCCAAATATCTAATACGGGAGAGGAAAATGGATCAAAAGATGAAGTGACACACGCTAGCACAACATTACAGCAGCAGCAGCAGCAGCAGCAGCGTTTTAGTATTTGTAAACAATTTGCTTATCATACAATAATACATAACGCACTCAATAATCAATGTATTCGAGCTTTTAATTGTTAACAGTTTGTAGATAACATACTGTAGTGATAAGGTTATTAGCACTAGAGATGATAAGGATAATAGTAACAATGAAACATGAAATGGAACTCTTTCGAAGATATTTCTGCTCCAGTTTATTATATTATCTATCATAACTTTGCTAAGTAATCATTTAATGCATCTCATCTTACTCTGTGCACATGTTGGATCCGATTAATAGAGAGGCTAATCCTACCAGCTTTTTGTTGTATCAAATAATCAGTCCAAATCGATAGATCATACCGGCTGGCTGGCTGATAAATAACTCCGCTTATTTGAAATTTGGCATTCGAAGTGGCATTTTGTAATGGTTCTTCCAATAAGTGTCCAATCATCCATCATTATGAATGTTCCAAGTCATCAATAAAAAATTTTTTTTTTTTGTTGACCTGTGAAGTGGTGCACAATATGACATATCGGAATGCAAAATGAGACCAACCAGATATCATACTAGTTTTTTTATCAAATGTCAAAACTATTATTTCAAGATTGGAAAGAATTTTAAAAAATTGAATCAATTCAAAAAGATCAATCTTTTGCTCTAAAATTATTGAACATCAAAAATTTCGATAAAAAACAGTTGCCATGAAATAAACTGGTAATACACATATTAATACAAAGAAGTTCATTAAATTATATGTCAAGAATTAAAATTCTGAATAACTTAGTAATGTGTACTTGTTCTGAACAGAGAACTTACTTATTTCTATTCACAAGCAACAAAAACACACTGTGAAAAAAAGTTTTAAGGTAAAAAATAACGAGAATTTTGCATAACACATAAATATGACTAATACAACAATAAATTTTAACTTCTATCATGATTTCTCCTTAGACAGCGGCAGCTGTTTTTGTATTCTACAGTTTTTTTTCAGTGGTCTATTCCACTTATTTGGCCCTGATGTCCGCAAAAGTTTTGGTTTTTCTTGCCTTGATCCTAAGCCGTCCGGCATTGTCCCATTATCGAAAGTAAATCCTGTTACCTCAACAGATGAATTCTGGAAGCTGAAAAGCAGAATCATAAAAAAACTGTGACATTTTGAAATTTATTAAAAAATTGCTGGGTAGAATTTTTTCTAAATTGATCTATACCATTTTGAATTAAAATCAAAATAAGAAACTTCATTTATGTAATAGTAGTTTAAGAAATCTATAAAATGAAACCTTTCATTGATGTACTCTTTCGGAAAAGGATCCTTAGAAATTAAAATATAAATCGTTGGAACATCAACATGAACGAGTATTCTGAAATATTAATGCCAAAATTTTTAATCATGACAACTGATGTCTGACCTTTTTCAATATTAATGAAGATAAATAATAAAAATAAAATAAAATCTTCTCATCGCCTAATTTTCCCACGATTTTAATCCAAATTACTATTTAATAGCTAAGAAGTTGGAATTGAATAAACATGACTTCGAAAATAATAATGCTCTGTAATGCATACTTGCTTAAACTTTCAACCATCGGTAACCAGGAATCAGTTCGTCGTGTGAACACTATTTTGTTCCATTGATACAATACACCATTCTGTAAGAATCACATATGTGATATAAGCTAACTTTGTATCTTAGACAAAGATAGAAATAAAAATAAATTCCAAAGCAACAATTAGACCGGCTTTATACGGTGAATACAATAGAAACAGTAAAGATAAGGAAGTATCAAAAAAGAATGTGGGTTGCGCTTTGAAAATGAAAACAAAAAGTATCGGAACTAAGTTAAAATTGACCTTATAATTTCTTTTGAACACTTCCACGCATGAAATACATTTTGCCGTAGCTTCGCCAACTCCTTTGAAAATTACCAATCGACAATTCGCATCCTAAATTAATTAGTGCAATATGAAATTAGAAGAAAACCATAATGTAAATCAAGCGATTTAAATCCTTTAACAAGAATATTAATTTCATAATAAAAAAATAGTAATGACAATCTTCAAAACTTCCTTTTTCCAAAAACTACCAAAACATTTTATCCACGCCTATTTTTCTGACTTGGTAAACACAAAATAAAATGGCATAAATTGAAGAACTAATGAAATAAAAACAAACTAAAATAATAAATACCGTCTCTAGTGCATAACAAGTGAAAATCAGAAAATTGTAATAGCAATAATGACTATTTTAAGAAATGTAGGTAAAATCATACCTCAAAAAGTTTGTCTACAAAAGTGAGAATATTTTTGAATTTAGTATTTTCCTTCACTATCATCTCTTTTGTACCAGTTGTTAACTCAGTCGGAAACGGTGGCAAACATGGCACGTTTATTTCGCTACCTTTGATATAGTTATCCATAAAATAAACGAATTATGAAGCAATCCTGAAATTGCTGCATAAACGATATCAAAAAATTTGAATATGCACTTTCATGTAGCATGCATGCATGCATACTCTAAAGAATACATATAAGCTGATAATCTCTTATCAGTATACCTTTTGATGAACCAATACTGAATAATTGATCACCTGGCAAGGCAATTGCTGTATTCTTCTTTCTGAGGGAAAAAAAGAAAGAAAGAAAAAACTACCTTATCCAGATCCTGAACTGCCTTTTGATCTATAGCAGAAGTTCATTTCATATCCTGTTGCATATGAGTGAAATGCGACATATCAGCACTATCACTCATATCGGTGTAGATGGGAAGATAAGGTTGATAAGGTTATTGATAGCTTGCTAGCTTAGCATGGTAGCTTGAGAGCGCATGTATGTGTTTAAGAAGACTAAGTGCTGTTGCACACTTTCGATTTGCAGAGATTAATGAGCGTAGCAGGAACAATGATGAGGAAATGATTAATTAGAAATTTTGTTATTTATAAATTGATTAATTGGTTAAAAAACAATAGTAATGGAACTTCGGAAATGAGAGTAACATGGTTTTTTTTTAAATGTACAACTAATTGCACTGTTATTGCCATTTTTGTTATCACTGTCATTATCGTTATCAGTACCAACAACATTAATGTTTTTATCATTAGTATTGCTAAATGTTTCTGTTATAGTATGTGTGCTTATTTAAGTCTGCGCTCATCGAAATAAACAAATAATGTTCGAATTACGACACTTTATTGCCTTATCATTTGGCATACTATAATGGCTTGTGTAAGCTACTTATATTAATATTAAATATGATTTAAATAATCCTCTTTGTAGTGTTTATCACAATCTTAATCGCTGTTACTAATGGCTGTTATTATAATTTTAGGTATTATAGCATTACGAATGAAATAATCTTATTTTGTGTAAAAATATATTTTTTATATTTTTGCCAGTTTCTTCCCATTATTATGAAATGCTTCCCTTTTTTATTGCTGTTTGAAATTCCGAAAATATGGGACTGTAACTTTGAAAATACAAAATCTTTGGAATGTGATTTAAAATGCTGCTGACAATTTCAGTGCATAATTTGATGCGCTGCAATACAGAAGCCGAGAAAAATGGTTTGCTGCATGCGTTATATGGAGACCATTATTAAAATAAGATTCATCTAGAAATCCCTTTTTTTTCATATTTTAATTAGAGTAATTTTAGATTGTTTTGAAGGAAAGGCACACAGCATCCAAATGAAGTTGTTTGGAAAATTATTAGTATTATTATTTATAATTAACCTAAGTAATCATTGAAGTAACAAGATGAGAAAGTCTAAATCAATACAACCTGGCCGAAATGAAGAGGATGAAGTTGCATTGACTGATGTAAGCTTTTTAGTTTCACTTTGATGAAATTCTTTATTTCGTGAACAACCTTTTTACTTTTATTAACTTTATAACTGTGAAGATGGAGTTATTAAGCATTAGCTGTCGCCTACTACCTTTTGCCAGTGATGAAATCAGTTTTTTGTAAATTTGTATTTTTTGAAATTTTCCTCGTTCTTTATATGGATCGCTTTCTAAATAGTTTCCAATAAGTTAACAGTAAATTGAATAGAAGAATAGAGCGGTCAGCATAATGAACACACCATTATAATTTCACTGTGAAAACACACTAAGTAATTGAATTTTTTAATTAAACTTAACGAGTTTTAACATTTTCAGATGGATTCGATGGATAACTTAATCGTAGTACGAGATTCTTCTGGTCCCGGGCCGACTAAATCTATGACTGTATGTTTTTTGGTTTGCTTTACATTGAAATGCTTTATATGATGACTTTGCCTCATTTGGAAATAATTTACAGTTAAAAACTCGTGCTTTGCCAGTCATAGATCCGGTTAAAGAAGTGGAAATATTGGAAAGTATTGAAGCTGCATACTTCATCGACGAAGGATTTGATGCAACTGATTATGAATTGAAAGTAAATTTAGTGGAAAATTCTCTTGAATTTTAAGATTACGCAAACGAAGTGTTCTACAAATTCAAAATTTTTGCTTTTACATTTTCTTTTTTTAAATCATTTCATAATTTAGAAAGTCATGGACAGAGATATTTTACCTGAAGATCTAACTGGAGAAATAAATAAGTTAAAACAACAATTACAAGTTGTTTCAAAACGAGTGTCGGAAATGATTGTGCAGGACTGGCCATCTTATTCATCTCAGCTGAAAGATATCGATGAAATTCAAAAAGATTTAGATAATATTCTTTCGGTAATGCAGGAGATGCGAAAGTTAGTTTTCTTTTCCATAAAATATCTTGCATTCTTTTTACTTCAAGTCATTTTTTCTTACACTTATATAATGTTTCACGCGAGGGGTTATTTTGCCTGTAATATTGTCTTTACATAATATAGAGTGATATTCATATTTACCAGCCGTATATGAACATAGTTACTTAGCAAAGTAAAGATTCAAGAAGTGTATTTGTAACTATAGATTTTTTCTTTTCTAAGGATGTTTGCTCTTTGAATAAAATGTTCTATTCTTATTTTCATCGCAGGAAACTTGGTCAAGCGAAGCTTGAAAATCAAAATGGGCTGGAAATAATCGCAAATTACAGAAATCGAATATTTTTAAGGAAGTTGCTGTCATCCCTCGAGAGCATTAAAACATTATACGAAGTGCAGTTCCAAATTAAGGACCTTGTCCAGGTCTGCTGCTGTTTTCCTTATTTTTGTAGTCTTCCGCTTTAGTGTTATTCTGATTCTTTTTTCGTTCTACTTATGCGGTTGTTTTTTTTTTCAGATCAGCGGATAGATGGTTAACAAGAATACATTGACCATTATATCTTTTTTCTTTAATTATTTTCAGGAGGAAAATTTTCCTGCAGCTATTAGTATGTGCTATGAAGCACAGAAAGCTACAGTAACTTTTAATCGATTCAACTGCGTCAAGTAATAATTTTCATTTAATTTAAAAAATAATGCATAATGACTTGTTATAATCTCATATTGATGTTTTTTATCCTTTTTGCATTTAATCAAATTTTTTAAATAAATGCAATTTACCTTTAACAAGATTTTTAAGCATTCTTAATAGTTTTTTATACATTCTTGAGTTTAATCTCTTAGCAGAAGATTATTTATAGAGAGTTGTCAACAAAGTTGCATGAAGCTCTGGAAGACATTGAAATAAATTTGGACAATTGTTTGGCATCAATGACTATTTTATTCAGTGTTGATCGCTACTCATCAATTTATACTGCTTACAAACTATTAGGTAAAATTGAGGTAATGAATCTGCTTCATTTTTATGTGGATGTTTTTTAGCTTTGACATTATGTACTAAATGAAATTTTAATCGTGCAACTTTGAAAAATTCAATGCCTAGTTAGTATGTGCAAATAAATGTAAAACACTATTTTAACGGCAGTAATTAGGGGGCACTTGAAAAAATGTTTTTAAGATAGCATATTTAAGAGTACAGTAAAAGTCTTCAATCTCTTATTGTTTAATTGATTTTTACATTGATTTTTTAAGGAATGTGCAATGAAAATAATTGGTTTTACTCATGCAACTTTGGAAAGTTCGGCGAGAACGGTTATTATTGATAAGATTTTGCCGATTAAGAATGAAGCAAAAATTGAAGAATTATCGTATGAGCAGCTTTGTGAGGTTTGCCCTGGTCCATTGATAGCAATATTTTATTTTTCTCAAAATTCATTGATTTTTTTTTCTCAAAAATTTCAGATTTCTTGCAGGCTGTGAACTTGGGACAAATATTAGATTGTGTACGTGAATTGGGATTTGTTATTTGTAAAGTTTTGTTTACATATCATTCCATTTTACTTTTCCATATAGATGAAGATGAAAGGTTGGAATATGCACACGAAAAATGTGGTTAGTTATTCAAATGGTATTGTTTTACAACTCAGGTCCTAATATTTTTTGGCTATATTTTTCAAGTTATATCATTGATTGGATGAAATGAAATCAGTTCTATCAATATTTTTATGATTGCAATTATAGGATAATTTTTCATAATTTTTTCTATTCATTATTCATTACTAGGACATTCTAGAAAATGTGGGTATTGTTCGTAAAATTCTCGTGGATTCCTTACATTCTATTTTCAAAACTGCATCAATGAAATTCAATACTTTATTATATTGTCATGATCTATCTCTTCTAAAAATCGATCAATTTTTAGATATTATTGAAATGTCAAACCGGTTAGATTCAATTATTAATTTTTCACATTTTCCCTTACAAATCTTTGAAATTTTATATCTTCAAAATTCTCAATACCATATATTAGATTGTGATTTGAACAGTTTAACGATATCGTGCAAATTTACTTATATTGTGTACGTTGATTTATAAAATTTAAGGTTCAAGCAATTTGGTCGTACTTATTTCGGAAATATTTGTGGTGAAGTCACAATGTCATTGGAAAAACAAAGTCATCTGTACTTCAAAAGGTTTGTTGTAGAATTATAGTTCAATCTAATAGCTTTATATGTTTTTAATTTAGATTCCATTATGAACGAATGGATGAGTTACGTATGTTTTTGGAAAACGAAGCTTTCGCTTTATGTCCAGTACCATTGCAGTTTACTTTGTTCGATTTGCAGGTGAGGTGTTTAATGTGGCATTACTGTTCATTTCAAAGGTTGTTTTTTAGCATATCTTTGGGACTAGTGGATATTTATGTAAGGTGAGTTGATATGTTGAACGAAAGCACGCATATCAACAACTATTAAGCAATATTAGGAATCAACACGTTTTTTACTAATCATTATCGAAATAGTAAACAGAAACACTGAATTTCTAAGCTTACATATTTCTTATTTTAAGGAATTCAGTTTCCTAAAAGAATCAAATGAATATCAAAAAGGAGCAGGTTTTTCTGTGTATTCCGAAACTGATTCAGATCTAGCGGAACCTTTGGACTTTCAAATTCTTCAACCGACAGACATGAATCCTTTCACAGTGAGAACTGCAGATATGGATTCATCTGCTAAAGTCAGTGTTTATCTATGTTATTTTTGCCCTATGGTGCTGTTAATAGCCAGGAAGCTCTTACATAATTTTTTATGTTTCAAATTGTGCCTTCAGGATGTAAATATCGCTGTTATTACAACTGTGAAGAATTCGTCAAACGATGATACGGATAGCGACAGGTTTTTTTTTTTTCATTTTTACAGTCCCTATATGATTTGACAGAGTTTTAGTTCAGGGATCTCCTTTCGTTTCTACTTCGCCTTTGTGTTATTTTACATAGGCATAAGGAGATATGTTTCAGAAATAATTTGAGGTCACTGCAGATAGATATAGAGTAGATAGAACTCAATATAAATTGCTGATATCACTGCTCGGAATTCTATACAATATGCCATTAAGCGAATTTTCAGTACTTTCATTTGTTGGTGATTTCTACTACTAAAAAAATACTTAATATTTTTCTTTTAAATTTCTGATAACACTTTATTCCATTCATAGGTATGGTATGGATGATAGTTTCTCACAGTTGGCTCCAATTCTTTGTAACACATCACTGAATCTCTTGCGCTTTATTGGTTTGCTTTCATTTTTTTCTGTTTGCTGTTCATTCGAAACTTTTCTTTGTGAATATCTGTTATTGTTAATTTAGGGAAATACATTCGGATGACTTATATGCTTCATTCAGTAGCTGATCATGCTGTAAATGGTATTTTTGAACTCTGCAGCTATTTTTTCCTTTCGGTAATACTTTTTTAAAATCTAATTTTATCTATTAAAGCCCGATTACTGCAGATTTCACTTTGTCAGAACTCCAGCCACTAACTTCCCATCTAAAGTTTTTTCCAGGTATATTCGTTTTTCACTTCAAATATACATAATGTTGCTAGTTCTTTTTTCTCTTCAAGCTTAAAAAGTGTTGTGGACAATTTAAAAAGTGATTTATTCAACGGCGATTTACCTTCAAAAGGTGCAAGTGTGAGTTGGATTTTCTTTTATCAAATAGCGAATCTATTTATACTGATCATGCGGGCAATTCTACTTTATGTCTTATGTTTACATTTCATTTGTTTTTTGCTTTGCTACAATAACTTCTGGTTGTAAGGTTTCAAAATTGATAAACGTCCCTGATTAGCGTCTTTTTAATTTGGAATCCTGCTTTTTTCAGAATTACAAATGTTTTCCATGTACATTGTTACAAGATGTTAAGCTTGATTTGGGGCCTAATTATGCTTTACGTGAACGCATTATTGGCGCTGAATCTATGTAAGTAATATTATTTCCAACATCTTGGCTTATTTTATTAATTACTTGGCATTCTCTATTAAATCAGTTTTCGAAGATTTTCAGAAATTTTATTTCTAAACAACTTGACCTCATCCGTCCAGTCATTGAATCGCTGGTTAATCGTGATGTTATCGAGAAGTACTATACGGAGGTGATAATATGTTTTATGGTTACATTTTTATTACAGTTGCACAATTGTGATTTCTATATGCTCAACATATTAGTTTTTTGAAGCTAAACGAGTTCAGATCTTGGTGATAATACCAGAAATGAGAAAGTGTATATATGGTTGCGCAGTAAGCCGTTTAATTGATTATGACAAATTTGTGAATGATATAATGACAACGAAATGGGATATTGGTCAACTTCAATCGCAGCATAGTACCTATGTTGATAATATTTTACAGGTATGTTTTTCCTGCTTCATTAGTTTTGCTATAATTTCATTCTAGCTAAGGATAGCCTGTTATCACTATTTAGATCTATATTCAGTTGTACACTCTAGGTTTTTACATCGTATAGCTTCCCAAAAATCAACCGTTCTGCAAATGGATATTTAAATAGCATTGTTATTCTTAATTATTAGCATTTTTATACCATTTCATTTTTTGTTGTTTATGAACGTAACTATACGTTTTAGTCGGATTCATTTGTTAGGAATTTTGTTAGAAAGTAGGAATTTTGGTAAAATTCTGTTCACATAATTTATTCGCATTGCACACATTGCAGGAATTTTCAAGAATTAAAGATTTGCTTTCGGAAATCGCAGAACAAATACCAATCACCAAGTCTGTTCAAAAGACTTTTTGGAGCACAGTTATATGTTGTACATTTAGTGCACTTGTCAAAGGGTATTTTCCTTCACAGTTTAAATTTACCCTAGTATTTATTATGGTTTTTCTTTTTATGTTCTTATTACTTTATTTATATAAAGTTAAAATGTTTGGATAGAATCTCATCACTTCAAATATTAAGGAAATTGTTATTGCTTAAAATTTTCTATACAGAGTTCTGTTTGAAGCTATGGTGAATTTGGGAAAAAATGCTCGAATGAAGGACGTGCATTAATGCAGTTGGATTTCCAACAGTTAATTGCAAAACTTGAACAGCTTGTCGATTTTATGCCCATCCCACACAAGGCATATGTAGAAAATTACATCAAAGCTTATTATTTACCTGAAAGTTCGATGGAATCATGGATTCTGCAACACAGAGTAAGTAATATTCATTGCTTTATTCAGATTTTTTAATGGATTTGAAAATCAGGACCTGAATTTCAAAGATCGAATTTTCCATCGTAGAAAGTGATTTTGACATATAAGAAATTCATTCTTTCATGATATGTTCTTAATTCTATGTTTTTCTCATTTCGGTGAAAGTGAAACAAATCATCCAACATTTTAGAACATATATAACTGACTGCTGAAATTAACTCTTTATTAAGAAAGTGAAAACATTGAAAACTCGGTAAATATTTGTGCTAAATGCTTCATTCTAAAAACTAAGCTTCATTCTAAAAACTTACTGAATCAATGTGAGTACATATAAATTTCATTCTCAATTTGAGTGCTCCAGTCTATCTTTTTACAGGAATACACAACGAATCAAATCATAACGCTATTGAATGTGGCGACCCACATTTCGAAGAAAGCTCGGACTCGAATTATTAATGCACTCGAGGAATAATAGAATAATCTGTTACGATTTTTTCGTGCATTTAATTTAGGTACTTAATTTAAATTCGCTGTTGTAAGCCTCCATTACTTTTAGTCATTGTTGAATTGTTTGAATATCTTTCAGTAGTTTGAACATCGCTAAAAATTACCAGGATGATGTTTAAAAATTTTTTTGTGTCCTTAAAAGAAAGCCTTATTAACTGTTGATGTTTAACAACAGATGATGATTTGGAATTTCTAACACTTTTATTTTTTCGAAGCCTTTTACTTTCAGCCTGTATATCCCGGCATTAAAGAGAATTTTAAACGGCAATATTGCACAAGGTTATATGTCACTTTTTACTGTTTTAAATTTCATGTTTGATTTATATATTTGTGAATTGCTTTACTTTGCACATAAGCTTGTAAACAGAGGGAAAATTTGTTGGTCCCACTTTACATTTTTGAAATGAACTGTGATCTGGTTTCCGGGCATCCCCGTAATCTGATCTTTCTTAAAAGATGGAGCTTGGGAGAAGAGTTCTTTTTTGTTTTTGAAAATCGAATGATTTACATAATTGCGAATGTAATAGAGGGTGTTTGTTGCTATTTGTTCTCTTGCTATGGAAATAAATTTCGATCTCAGTTTTGCACTGGTTAGTTGATCGTTTTGTTCATTGGTTAGTTATGCGGTTAGTTTTCTTTTTTTGGACATTTAAAATCCAAATATACAAGGCGCTAAAAACTAGAAATGAGGAGTAGTTTCTTGATATTGTCTTCCAAATACTAATAACGAACTAATTGTGGAGTAAAATTAAAAATGTTAAAAAATGAAACAAAAAAAAAAACTTATATTGGGGGAAACAGATTAAAGAAGATTCGTTTATAAATTTCGCTACTACATTGTACTTCAGCTGTTTCACAGCGCGATTTCGTTTTTCCCCTTACTCCATATTTCTACACAACATCGATTCGAAGAGCAGAAACTGCACTATAACAAGGCCGAATTTCGCGTAAATCATCGTTCAGATCCATACATTGATTTGTTAGTTTTCAAATGCTGTCTTTTTTATTTTTCATCATTGTTTAATATTGTTGTGAAAGAATAAATTATGTAAACTTGTTATATTTTAAACTTGCCATCCAATATTACAGCCAAAAAGTTACGACGAAGATGAATGAAGAATGAACCTCACGAATGTCAGCAAAGCGGAAATTTTTCCCTTGAAAATCGCATTTATCAAAAGCAAACATATAATCAGTTGTTAGTTGTTAATGGACATTTCACACTTTTTCCCAATCCTGTCGACTGAGTCTGTCCACATGCTTCATCTTCAGGAGCAAAGATTTTGTGGATAAGAAAATAAGAGGGATGTTCTTTGAGAAAGATAAACTGTGTCTTCAACAAAGACTGAGCAATGGGATAAATATCGGTAATTGATCACATTTTAGTTGCTCGTCGATATCTTGTCTTAAAACGGGAAAAGAAGTCTTGATGTAGCCTTCATTAATCCGTATGTCTTAGTGAAGTGGCCTTCCCGCGTTTTTTGAAGAATGAATTTCATCATTCAGCTATGTAACTCTCCACCTGTAATCTCTCTTATATTGGCAGAATTATCTCCGCTGATGTAAAAGTGTAATTTTCAGGATCATCGAACTTCGAACTGTCTACGGTTGTCTTACGATTCCGTTTACAAAATAAACACTATTTAATTCGTTCGACTGTAGCCCGGTTAGTTGAGGGCGATTACCATTTGAAATTTAACATCGAAACTTGCTTATTACAAGCTGTGTGTTACGAAAAATACATTGAACCTTTCACTGTGGATATTGAAATGATTTATTAATAGGAGCTCAAAACTTTCTTTATCTTTTCTTTATATTTGAAAATTTTTCCAAGGAATAATTTATTCCTTACTTTCGTATCTTCGTGATTTAAATAAAATATTCTAACAGGAAAACAATTTAGGTTTTTTCAGAAAAGTTCAAATTTTGTGTTTTATTTATCAACCCAGTCTACAAGCTAGATTTCGTACGGCATAACTTTATGATACCATCAACTTGCATAAATGTTTGAAATAAATTTGGGAGTCGAAAAATAAATCTGCAGTTGAACGCGAAAAGACTACGCAAAATATGGAGGTGTCTCAATAATTACGTCTGTAACAGAGATAGAAAGAAGGGGAGGGGTCGCCGAGTTGCACAGAGGAACCCACTCGAAGTTCAATGCATGGCGTCCTCGAATGGGTGCCAGCAAGAGCTCTTAAACTAACCTTGCTGAGAGGCCTCTCGCGATCATGAAGGCGGGACCTCCATGGCGAGGCCCGGTCACTGCACTTCTCGATCGGGTTGACCCGTGTGGCAATCCCAAGTCGGGATTGGCCAGCAGCTTAATTTTTGCGTTTGGGGAAAGCGTTCGCGCTTCCCTGTGGTCGGGTTGGGGGTCTACACTGGGGTTGTGGTGTCTTGAGTTCTCGTGTAGTGAAAATTTTGAGTAATACTTTGGGTGTAAGTAAATTGCGGTGTCATTAATATTAGAAACTATTTTAAACTAAAATTGTGAGGAAGGGAAAAACTTCATAAACTTAAGCAATTCAGGGAACCTCAGAAGATTATTCCCGGTCTAACTTACGCTACTAATTCTTCTCGGAGAGGAAACCTGAAGTATAGACTCGTTCATTAGCTTGCTAATTTCTAGCTAAGTCGTTCCATATTAAATATAAGATAATTGATAGGAAGCTGAGAATCTAAAAACTATTTGCTGCGACCTAATGTGATTCTCGGTTGCTATCAAAGTTTGGGACTTGAGTGAATGAACCAAACAGGATCTGAGAGAGGTTTCTGATTTTTAGAATGGGAAAATGTTCATCAGAAGATCTTAGATTCCCTTCTTGAAATCATGAAATACCTTCACGACTCCGATCATAAATTTCTTGATTTGCAGATTCACATAGTTGCATTCAATAAGGAAGAGATTGTAAATACAAAATAGGACAAGCTGTGGGTCTGTAACAAGTATAACAGTTATTTTGATGGTATGCGAAATATATTTAACAACTTTTCAGCGAAGGATGAACATCAGCATATTTTTGTGGCAGAGATTAAAATAGTTAGAGAATTGCATTATTCTGCCAATATTTCATTTTTCCTACACATATATTTATTATTTAAAGCTTCAGATGATGAAAATTTTTTCTACTTTCCTTATTAAGTAAGTTTTACGTAGTAATTGGTTCCTGTAGAAATAGTAAGCATGAACAATATATTCTCTGTCCATTAAAAAATTAATTGTTGGTTACTCATCGTCCATCGGTTTGATATGTGGGCTGTTGTCTACAGCCTCGCTCTTCTGCGACTATATGGTATCCTTGCTCTTTTGCGACTACTGCATATAGCTTTGCTTTTTTGCGACTACGACAACCGCGTGTGCACATTCACTCTCTCCCTCCCCAATTCAGCATTTCAAAAGCGGGGAAGCGCGGACGCTGTCCCCAAACGCAAAAATTTTGCTGTTGGCTGACCCCAACTCGGGATAGCCACACGGGTCAGCCGGACCGAGAAGTGCAATGGCCAAGCCTCACCATGGAGGTCCCGCCTTCGTGATCGCGAGATCCTCCCAGCCAGGTAAGTTTATGAGCTCCTGCACTCAGGAATATCATTCTACGACACATCAAACTCCGAGTGGTTCGAAATCGAATTCTTAACAGCTATTGATACAAGATGGGACGTATAAGAGAGTGCAGTAGATGAGGGGAGAGAGACAGCGATACAGATTGTCTTCTTCACATGTCCACTCAGTTAGTGCTTCAATGGTGACATAACTTTTTACATTTACCACTACTACTACTACTGCTATTAACTATAAATTTAAATGTTACGAGCTAAAATGAAATTTTCATGGTGAAACTAAATTGCAAGAAAGATTGAACGTTGCAATTGGTTCGTTGATTTTAATTCAAAATTTGTTCACAGATATTTGATGACAGTGTAGCAACTGTTGAAAGCACTATGAATGTAATTATCAATATGATAGTCTATACATGAATAATGAAATTATTAATTTCTTGCAGCTTATGTAAATGTTATCAGGATAAGATAAAATGGAATATTGAAGGCCTTTTTTTTTCTTTCAAATTCCATTGCTTCTTGTTATCTCTATTCAAAAATTTTAAAATAACTGTTAAATCAAAATGTCTGCTATGTTAGTATTAAAATGTCATCAAATCATATCAAATATTACAAGCAATAAATTAAAAAATCAATTCCTAAAAAAGCACTGATATGGTATCAGTCGAAAATTCGACCAATTGTTGTAGGATGTTGCGATACTTTTAGAAGCTTGAATTTGTATCATTAAAATGTTATCGAAAAAGACTAAAATGTGTGAAATGTTAAGCTCAAATAGCTAGAATATGAGTAATGTCAAGCTAGTTTTGTGAAAATCTGAATTGAAATGTTTCGAATTGTGAACTTAGCCATTCATTTATTTAGAAGCCAGGTAAGGAGCAGGAAAATGTAAATTTATTATTATTTGTTTCTATCATTTTCAAACTGGTTTACAAAAGCAATCTTATGGGTGTGTGTATGTATGTGTGTGTATGTATGTGTGTGTGTGT